CCCCAAAACCCCAAAACCCCAAAACCCCTATATTAGTTCATAGTATTGATACGATACAGTTATTCACAATGAATACAATTTATAGGTATGTCTTATAACATTTTCTTCAAAAATGTTCTGATAAATTTTCATACCAGAGTTTCTGAGAATGTTCAGCTATGCTGAATTATCCAGATTGGACCTTTTATATACCTCTGGAGTACCAGAAACCTCCAAATGTATTTCTAGGCCTTTATTCATCAAGAAATTAAAGGTGGTATTCTTAATATTTTACTTGCCTACTCTGTGATATAATATACCTTTTAATTTTACTGCAAGTTTTTCCCAACTCTCATTCTCCATGTTTAGGCTCAAAATGATGCTGTTTGCAGCAATCTTGTGCTCAGGTAAGATTGCCTGGTGAAACTACTTCCTTCCATGTGATATCAGATCTTCTTAGAATATCAGACCTTCATTGGATTACAAAGTCTGTACATAAAAATACCTATACTCTTTTGTTTGTATGCTAAAGTTTTATAATAACCATGTTCAGGCACCTAATCTTGGTCAAAATCACCTCTAAAATTGCTAGAATATGTTATTTCTTACTAAAAATTACTCTGCATGCTTATTTTCCACTTCCAAGTGTCCCTTCTCTATGACTCTTCAGTTTGACAGCGAAACAGCTGATTATTATAGCCTAAACTATCCTGATATTTCTATGAATGTTTTTCATAAATCCTAGCTTGCCGATAGGCTCTACAGGATGCTGAGCCTTCAGCTCGGGACCACCGGAGGGCTTCCTTCAGATTCTTAGTAAATTATCTTTATGAAATAATGAAACTTTGTGTAGCACTAGCGCTCGATGCTTCCCAGAGTACCATCTCTGGAGTAGCTTCAGGAGACAGCCTGGTTATTAATCAGACTTATACGGTCACAGTCCAAGCCAAAGATACATTCGGGAAGAACCTGTTCTCTGGAGGAGAGGATATCTATGCCTATATTACAGACCCATGCACTAGAGGGCCGAATATGTCCTGAGTCCCTTCTGCTTTCAATCAGAGTGCAGTAAACGGCGGAGAGAAAATTATCAAGCTCTCTGATCTCAGAAATGGAAAGTACTCCACTGACTTCGACTTGAATCACATTGGAGATGCAACCATCTCAATAATCTTGGCACACCGTCAAGCTGTTGTTGGCAAATACTACAATTCAGGGGGTATTTCAGGATTACCAGATGTGGTCACCTCGTCACCGTAAGGTTTCACAATATGCTAAACTTCTTGGCAACTGTTGATTCCATCTCAACAGAAATAGTAGATTCAGGATGGGCCACATTAGAAATCCGGTATCTTTTTATAAAATCCGATCTTGGAAATTCTAATGCTGATTTGTTAGAAAATCTCGAATTCTGATTCGCTCTCCAAACTTTAATTTTGATTGGCTAGAATATTTTCATTATCATATATCTAGAGACATAAACTTTAGCTGGGCGGCTGGCCAAGATATAACTCCTGGCAATAGCAATAATGTGTCAGCCCAGTTCACTACCAAGCTGATTTCTTTCCAGTCTGGGAATTGTACAGTGTCAGCGACCCAAGACGATGGAGCAGATGTGTAAGTCTGAAGTAAAAACTTCTCTAGGAAAATTAATGGAGTGGCACATGTCAGCAATTATGGAATAAACAAAGCTTCATCAACTAGTTTCGACTACAACTTCAATGCGTTCGAGACTTATGATCTTAAAATTGATTGGAAGAACCTAGCTGGACCAGGAGTCATAAAGCTTTATTGGCAATGTGTAGGTGACAAAATTATCATTCCTCCTAAAAATTATGGATATGCAGAAGATTTAGGAGCCAGTCTATTACAGGTTTCTGTAGTTTGTCCTGAGAAATACGAGCAAACCCCTTCAACCACTGACCAATGTAGGACAATCTGTGGGGATGGATATGTCATCAGTCCTGAAGTCTGTGACGATAACAACACTGTTAGTGGGGATGGATGCAGCACTGACTGCACAGTAGAGTCTGGACATGTGTGAGCTGGAGGAGACTCAGAAAATAAAGACACATGAAGACTGTGGTCGACTGGATTTTATACGAATGATTCTGTTCGGCCAACAGAATGAATAACTAAGTGAGGCGATGGACAGAGAGTTGGCTCAGAAGCCTGAGATGACGGTAACACTATTGATGATGATGGTTGATCTTCTGATTGTAGCGAAATTGAGCTCGCTTGGAAATGAGGTACATCAGTTCCAAATATATGCACTCGAGACTATAAATCAGTTCCACTGACTTCAATAGAGAGAGCATTGCAGATCGGAACTTTAGTAGCCATTCCTATTCTAATAACTTATCGACAAATTCTGTCTTGTCTTCAATAAATCAGCTCCAGTTGTTGATGCTATTCTTGCTATGCGAAACCTTCATCCCGCTCAGAGTGGTGACTTACCTCAGGACGATCACAGTATCTCTGATCGACATCAACATTGACTGGAGCTTCTTCATTGTGTTCAGGAAGATTATTGAGTGGTTCGACTTTGCTCAGCCCAGAGATGACTTCGATACTATTGAGATCAGTTCGGGGAGCTCACTCATCAACCTTAGCACTCTTGTCTGCATGTTCATTCTATACATCATCATCCACTTCATGTTGTGGGGCATCAGAAAGTGAGTGGGCAAATCTAAATAAATTCTGAGCTCGATTTATCAACAAAGCTTATAGTAGCTTTACATTCAGAATGTATGTAATCCTGATCTTTGAAGCAATCATAGAAATTTGTCTGTGCTCGTTCTCTGAGCTAGAACGGTACAAAGTCAATACAACTGGGCCTGAGCGGAACTCATTCTATTTTGCTGTCTTCTTTTCCTTGATATGTCCTGTTGTTATTTTCACAGTCCTAGCAGTATGGCTTTTTATAAAACCAGAGAAATCAAACATGAAAAGGTTCCTCCAGAGAGAACTTTATGAGGGAATCAAGCCAAACAGATGAGCCAGGCTTCAACCAATATTGTTCCTGGTCAGGAGAGCAGTCCTTTGATTCATGATAGCCTGTAAGTATTTTCTGGATACTTTAGTCGGTAGATCACTTGATAGACTTATGTTCATGGGACTGTACTCCCTGACCAATTTTATTCATTGAGGGCTGATCTGATGCATCAGGCCATTCAAGAATGTGTCTGAGAATATCACAGAAGTTGGAAACGAAATGTTTATGGCCATTTTCTGTTTGTTCTTGCAGTTCCATCGCTCAAAAAGTGATTGGAGTACTACCAAGACAACTATTTTCTACTGGACTTTAGTCTTGAACAACATCTTGTATGTATCATTCTCAATAGGTAAGGCCTTTAATGATAGCTTAGCTGTATTCATCTACACTCTCTGTATCTACAAGAAGAAGTCAAAGAAAGGATTGGAGGATGCTGTCAAGAAGATCTCTCCAAAGAAGACCATGGAAATGCAACAAAACATGTAACAATGTATTATTACTCTGTAGTCCTAGATATTTACGCAAGCTGAAACAGAATGTTGATCCCTGTAATTTCAAGCGCAGGAACATCGATGTTCCTGCAGAAAGTTCAAACTCATGTGTGTCAAATCCAAGTAATGCAAACTTGAATAGAAATTCAGTCATGTTTTAAAACTAGAGTTTTACACTGGCATGAGCGAACTACAGAGCCATAAAGAGAACATCGGACTCTTCAGTGTTCATCAATGATGTCCAATGATGATACATGAGTTTAGATTTGATGTTTCTATTCCTTATAGCTCGTAGTCTCGGCTACATCATTGATATACCAAATATTAATGAATAAAAATGTCACCTTTAAATGCACTCTAATATCTCCGATCGAGCTGTTTTGTACAAAGTGTTAATGAGGTTCTAGATTCTCTTGAAATATGGGGCTAGCTAAGTCACCCGAAGTAAACAGCACACATTTCTTATAGAAATTGCTCTCAGAGTGTTTTATTTTAAGTCATAACTCACGCAAAATGCTCTAAAGTAGTGAGGATTTATACTATCAAAAATTCAAAATTTATGCCATAGAATCTTCATAAGCCTATTTTTATAATCCTAAGGAGTTTATGCCGTGTGTTACAGTGGAAAAGCACTCATGATAGGGAATAAGTCAGATTTTAGTAGATTGAAAGAAGAGGAATTGTATCATTAAAATAGGGAAATACCACAGCTTCATAACTAACCACAGATCCTCATATACATTACCCCTAAGTTTCACTCAATTTGGTCATCCAAGGCTCTTGGCTAATCCAAAATGATTCATACTTTACTAAACCTGGCCTCTATCAATTTTTAATGTGCGAATCTAAAGGCTAAATTTAGTGAAATTTATTTCTTCCATAAGGTGCCATTTTCAATGTATTCTCTCATCTCGGGGTTTTGGGGTTTTGGGGTTTTGGGG